GTGTGACGGCGTTGTGTCGCGTGTGCTCCCTGTGCGGGCCGGGACCAAGCCGCTGGACCACTCCATCACGACGTTTCACAACGTGAGGCTTCAGCCCGAAGCGCTTCTGGGATCGGCGTCGCGAGGTGACAACGAGCGAGAGGAGTTTCTTGCCCACATCTGGAGGGTATCCGTCGGCACGCTCTCACTCTCCATCATGGGGGTGTCTGCCATCCGAGTTGCGGGCTGCATCGCCGCCCTGTACAGCCAGCGTCGTCTGGTCGGAGATAGGAACAGACTGCCCATCATGCAGTTCAGCACACAGCAGAGACCGATCCTGGAAGCCCTGGCGCACGGGGAAGTCTTGCATGCATATGCCAAGTGGAGCGTTGGCGAGTTCACCAACCACAATCACAACGCAGACGTCCGCCGAGGGATCGCTACCGTCTTCAAAGTCTTGGTTGTGCGATCGTCTCGTTTACTTCACGAGCTGGCGGAGCGATGTGGCTGGCAGGGCCTGTACGCGCACAATCAGATAAGCGAACTCGCATCAACCTTCCAGGGGAACTCCGTGGCCGAGGGTGACACTCTTGTTATAAGCATTCGTAGGTCTTCTTCATACACGAGCCTAGATATGGGCCCTGACACCTCCTAGGTCTCGCTTCTGAACTCCTCGTGAACAGATATGGCCTTCCACAACCGACTGATCCGACAGGATCTCTTGCCATGTATGAAGCCGGGATGATCGAAGAGGTTGCGAGAGACAAAAACCTCGCACTCGGCGCATCCGGCAGCTTGAGGGGCACGGCCTATAATAACAGCGTTCTCCCTCGATGCAGAGCGATGGTGGAGGCCATTGGACAGCGCATGGCCTACGAGGCAGCTCAGGCGCAAGGCAACATCGCGCCCGAGGTGCTCGATGTGTTTGAAAAGTCTTGCATTCAGAAGGATCCGTCCTGGTTTGTCGAAAACGACTACGGCACTCGATCTGCGTTGCGGGACGACGAGAACAGGGCATACTCCAACTTGCTGCCCCTCTTGCCCACGCTGATGGAAAGGGCCAATGCTAAAGACTACATCACGGCGCCGTTGGTTGAAGAGGGAGACATGGAAGACTTCATCAAGACCCTGCCGGCTTTTGGGGCTCGTACGGACGACGTGGTAGCAGAGCGGGCCCCAAAGTCCAGACTTTGATGTAGAAACAATCCAAGTACTTTAGTTTTATCACTTGCATCTGTCTTCTCGCCATGTCCCAAGGTTGCACATCGCCGCGGAGATGAGCGCGAGGGCAGGACGGTTTGTATGGTTAGTTTTGATGGTATGAGTCTAGCGTCCTACTTGCGGGGCCGTGACATGACGCCCCGCGACGGATATTTTTATAGCATAGAATTCACTCGCAGTGCTAGCTCAAAGATATCGGCGAAAGAACCATATTTGGAGACGTACGTATTCGGGGTTTCCTATCTACTCAGCTTATGTGGAGACGGGGAAAAGTCCGAATACAAGGTGAGAAAGATGGCGCTGATCAAATACTGGTAGATGAACACTCGCCCACGTCCTAGTCCTTCGGACCTGGGGCTTGGAATGCAGACTCGCTGTACGGTCCCTTCTCCATTCCTACGAGCCCATTCTCGGCTAGGTATTCCCTGGCGTCGATCGGAAAGCGCCGTAGCAGGTTCCGGAACTGCTGTTGTTGGTTCTCCGATATGGGGAAGCGGTCGTCTCCCGCTTTGCCACTCTTAGCTAGAGCGATGACCAGGTCCTCCTCTTTCTCTGCAGGTAAGGCGTTCATGGCGCGCCGCCATTCGCTCTCCAAACAAGGCACGAGGTATTCAAAAATGTCAGCGACGCAGCCGTTTCCTTCGTACGGGTCTTGGCTGATGTCCAGGGTAGCCTTGGTCAGCTTGCCGTACTTTTCCGACTTGGGAAAGCCAAATTGCGTGATAGATGCATCAAAGATGCGCCGCTCATCAAATAGCCCGCCATACGACGCAGTAAGCTCGATGTTGTCTTTGTTGTTTTTGCTTGAAATGTCGATGGTGAGCGCATAGGGCAGGGCTATGTCAGTCCTCAAGGCGGGTTTGAAGTCGAGTCTGCATTTCCGCGTCCCACCTATCGGCGGCAGGGCGTCGAGTAGATCGTTCCAGAGCCACCACAGCAGCGGTGCCGAAGTTGAGTCGTGGATTGGTTTGGAACAGAACCTTGTGATTACGCAGGAGAATTCGTCTGCGTACATTAGGCACGGTGAACTTGGCCATAGATAATGCAGACAAGAGTGTGCAAAAGACTGCAGGCTGCCGACACCTATGTATATAGTCTCCGGACATGGCCTGTACATGCGGCCGCTGCGAAGCCTGGCTCTCAGAGCGCTCTCTGAACTTGAGAAATACAAGCCAGGACCCCAGTCCATTTAGCAGTGGATTCAGTCCCCTGGTCAAGGCAGAGCAAGTTCAGCGTAGAGACCCTGCACGCCCTCACAAACGCCAGCACACAGCGCCTTGT